TGGACTTACCCTGGAGGTCTGGCTGTGAGGGTCTGGTGTAGTTTTGTCAGGAGAGGTTTTGCTCGTGTTGTCGGGTCGGCTAGGGTCCAGCCGACCCGGGTCCAGTGAGGGTACGTGGCTCCTGCAGAACACTCTGCTGTCCTTAGAGTCTAGTGGACTTCTGTAGAACGTTTTGAGAGTGAGTCTCACCCCGCACTTATGGCACTTGAAGCAGGAGCTGTGGTAGACAAGTCTGAGAGTGGGTTCAGTTCGCTCCTGAAGGTAGACGGGCTCTCCACAGCGAACACACGGGGGTTCGAAGAGTGAGCACCTTGTCCTGGGCTTGAGCACAACACCTGGTGCCTCGATATTGAGAGTAGCCAGCTTATCGAGGATAGCCTGGTCACTTGGAGACACTGGTTGCCGGGTTGCAGGCACCGAGTTGGGATCTGTGACGACGCTCTCCTGCTTAACGCTGTTACTCCGAATGAGAAAGGAGAATCTTTTTGTTGGCATGTTGGTTGTAGTGGACGTCTGGAGGATTACATCTTCACTAGGAATTTGTGTTTCACAGCTAAGCCTGTTCCAGTTTTGTGTATATTTCGGCTCCTCGTCCACTATTTTAATGATCTTGGCTTCAGCCACTCTCTGTCTGGTGGAGTAGTGTTTGTGAGTAGCGGTGTCGACGCCCACCGTAACGGGGGCGCGAGGCTTGGAGCCAGAGTACACATTAGCGTTGTCAAACACGGAGAAGTCACACAATCGTGCGGCGCCCGCAGCTGCTCAGCCCAGACTGGCCCGTGGTGCGCCAGCTCCTGCTTGCCAGCCCCACCAAGTGAACAGTCCCAGCCCCACAGGGGAGGCCAGAGGGGAGGTGCCACTCCCTGGAAACTTGGCCCACCTCCGGGCTCTGCAGCTTCATTGGCTACCCACAGTTCCTCTTCCTCCTTTTCCCTCTGGTCGCGGCAGGGGATGTAATTGTAGACGATACTTGACTCGCCACTGCTGCTGTTGCTGCTGTCCGAGGTGCGGCGGAACCGGTGCAGCTTCCCCCGGAGTTCACACCACTGCCAGTTGCTTCCCACGCCTGACAAAATACCTTTGATTCTGTTGCTTGTAGTGTCTGCAACACTGTGACGGTCGGAAGTAGTGTGGGTGGGCGGGTCACTATCATCGGTACCCTGCAAGCCCTGATCCTCGTCTCTCCAGGATAGTGAATCAGCTTCGCTAACAGTGACTGAGACACCATCTGGGTTGAGACGGCTCGAGGCTCTTGAAATATCTTGCGATTCTTCTTCTGATTCTTGGCCTAACCAGTTGTGTCGCGATGTTTCCGAATCCTCGCTGGTGCTCTCGTGCTCCGTCACTGTATACGCGCTCGAGAAAGAAGTGGGTGTGGAGCCTCTGTCTCCTTCCTGGTGAGGAGGGAGGGGATGCTGGAGTGTCGGGGAAGGGTGGGCAATGACTCGCCACTCCAGGATCAACGTTTTGTCCGTAGAGTCATCAGTGACTTGTGGCTCGGTAGATGGTAAGGAGACAACCTCCTGAAGGTCGTCCTGGGAAATGTGTTCGTGTGTTTCAGCAGGGTTACTTTCCTCAGTCGTGGAAGCACCAATGTATAGCAGCACACGATTATTGTGAGGGCCGTGCTTGTCACCGATTGTGATGGTGGTGGCGTTGTGAGTCGCACTGACCTCAACGTTGCTGCTCAAGCCTGAGTCCGACTCGGACAGTGATGAGACGGATGAAGTGAGCGACGAATCTGACTCATCGTCGGAGGTATCTATCACTTGCTGGCAGCTCGGGTCAGACACCATGAACACTGAACCTGTCACCCCAACATTCTGATTAATAATGTTCGGTTTTCTAAAGAGTTCCCTCGATGTGTGAATCTTTGGAATATCTTGGCTGTTGGCATGCATGTTTGCCGTGTGTGCAACACCAGACTGCTGCAGTTTATTAAGGTTAACAAATAAAAATTCAACCTTGGCTCTCATCTGGGGGACTAGGCACTGGCAGAGTCCATCTTGAGTGACAATACTCTGGCAAACTCTGCAGTCTTGCTTATGTTGTGTATCAGCCTTGAATGCGTCGTCGCCTTGTCTTAATGCAGCCTCCTCACTGAAGGTCTTCAGGAGAGACTCTTCCACTTCTACCACGGTCACGTGAGCCATTTTGATTCCCGTGCTGTGTACAAAAGATTTTCGAATGTATTATATCTACCTTCGGTGTTAATATTAGTCTTTAGAGTTTACTAAATCGTACATTAATTAGCTGAAGTGCTTTTCACATAGATCAGAGAAGACTCAATAAAGTCAGGGACAAGCTGTTGCACGGGGCACATATCATGACATAAATCCAAGGAAATGTAGTCTCTAGGAATTTTAGGAAATTGCGAGACCATTTCTTAAAAGTAAAACTAGTCTTCACAAACTCCGGCTGAATAGTATAAAACAAATCACAAATGCTTGGACGCTGAATACTAAAAGTCGTCTTGTGGGTTGATTCAACGTGTCAGACTCTGCAACGAAAGAAAACAAAGCACATTAGATATGAACATACTTAGCTCAAGAGTTTCAAGAGTAAGAACACTAACCTAGTTGTAGCAATGGTCTAAGGCATTAATGGAGGGAAAGAACTAGCCAAGCATCAAATGCCTCACCATAATTTACCACTATTAATGTGTTCAAGTTACTTACATATCCTACTGGAACATACGCATGCATGCACTCTACTCACTCAGAACAGTGGCGAAGGCACCGGCCTGCCACTCTCTCTTTGTGGTAAAGTTAATGAGCCAGGAAGGAAGGAAGGAACTGTGCCATGAAAGATGCCTCAGGCACGAAAATACTTTTTTTAAAAAGTAAATTGCGCGTCATATTCTAAGGAAGACATAAATTATATACACTGATCTGATAGTTCAAGACTCAACTAAGAGGTACAGATACAGAAAAATAAAGAGAGAAATGAATTAATGTGCAATACTTATTGATTCAATCACACAATGAATTACTTCACAATGAAAAAGCCGAAAAATTAGTTAAATATAGAACGTGGAAGGAAGGTAAGCATAACATTGTGAGTATTAAATATCAGAAATATTAGAATGGAAGTAAATAATGTGAATATCAGAGGAATACACTTATAAACGAGGGGAGATCAGTAACTAGCTATGGTAACATGAACCTAGACAAACACATTTCAAACCTGTAATATAAACAGACAGACTGTTGTTGTAGTAGCCAGGCTTAAACTTGCTTACAAGTACCTCTGGCAGATTAGCAGACACACAGATGATTAAATGCAAATTATGTGGACCGCTTTATGGTCACTTTCTTGAACAATATGTGATTCATTGTCCACTTACATTAAAATCTTGAGATAATAATATATGTGATAGTCAAAGTATCTTATTAATGACAAAATACCAGACATATTTAGAAAATATTCTAAATTTGCTAGTAACAGATGAAATATTGAATATCTTTTTGCAAATGTACTCAGTTTGATCCATCTGAGGCCTAGTTTTTAGGTCTCTCATGTATCCTGATGTTCTTATGCTACTTTGTGAATTATGTGAGTAAATTACCTGCAAGTAATTTGGGTGAGGTAAATGGGACTTAGTCACTGTAGGTCGCCGAACTGTCACTCCCTCGATGCCCACTCCCTACCACTCTCACAAAAAGCTAGACCTGACATTAAATTAATAATTACAATATTAAAACCAGCTACTCTGGTAAATTAAAGTGATGTGGACCGTATAGGATTAGGCTTGCTGAGTACACAAAATATAATTGATATTAACACTTACCATTTAATTACTGGAAGACAATGCTGATGGAACACATCCTGACACTACCCTAGCAGATAGGATTTATGGTGGCTAATGCAAAAACTACTGTACATTATGGGTAAGCATCACTTATCTAAGGTGTGTTGTTGGGAAGGATTCATTGAAGTCCTGTTTTTCCGTCCTGGTTGCCGACTTCTAAGGGTTTTCCACAATATATATCCCAATTCTTCAGCAGGAACATGTCAGCAATTTCAAAATTACGGATTGAGTCCGATATACACCATTTGATCTTCGAGAACGCCTGATTACATTGCACAATTCATTCCAGTGTTCACACATTAAATTCAATATGGCGTCTCCCCCCCCCGGCGTCACTTCGCAGTTTTTCTACCCCCCCCCAGCCCCGTCACTCGAAATTTCTCGAAAGGGTCAAATCAGTATCATATTTTATTACACAATTATATTGTTCATTTATATGTTTTACATTTAGGAAATTATGTACAAAATTTCCACATCTACCGTCCACAGGATAGAGAGACATAATATAATACTTTGAGTGAGATCAGAGAATATTTCCCAATGAAGACGTTGGCCAAGTTTGTAGATGACTGGGTGTGTCAAGCTTACGGACGAGAGGGTGTGTCAAGCTTACGGACGAGAGGGTGTGTCAAGCTTACAGACGAGAGGGTGTGTCAAGCTTACCGACGAGAGCGTGTGTCAAGATTACGAACGAGGGGGTCTGTCAAGCTTATGAACGAGGGAGGTTTGTCAAGCTTATGAACGAGGGAGGTTTGTCAAGCTTATGAACGAGGGGTGAGTGTCAAGCTTATTGACGACGGGGGGTGTCAAGCTTACCGACGAGAGGGTGTGTCAAGCTTACAGACGAAAGTGTGTGCTAAGCTTACGAAAGAGGTGTGCCAAGCTTACGAACGAGAGGGTGTATCAAGCTTACGGACGAGGGGGGTGTCAAGATTACGGACGAGTGTGTGTGTCAAGCTTTCGGACTAGGGGGGTGTCAAGCTTACGGAAGAAGGGAGGTGTCAGTCTTACGAACGAGAGTTTGTATCAAGCTTTCGGATGAGGGAATGTATCAAGCTTACGAGCAAGGAGGTGTGACAAACTTACGGACAAGGGGATGTAAAGCTTACGAACGAGAGGGTGTGTTAAGCTTACTGACGAGATAAGGTGGGTGGGCCACGACCATGGATGAGGTGGGTGGGCCATACCTATGGATAAGGTAAGTGGGCCATACCTATGGATAAGGTAAGTGGGCCACGCCTATGCATGAGGTATGTGGGCCACGACTATGGATAAGGTGGGTGGGCCATACCTATGGATAAGGTGGGTGGGCCAAGCCTGTGCATGAGGTGGGTGGGCCATGCTTATGGATAAGGTGGATGGGCCACGCCTATGGATAAGGTAGGTGGGCCACACCTATGGATAAGGTGGGTGGACCACGCCTATGGATAAGGTGGGTGGGCCACGCCTATGGATAAGGTGGGTGGGCCACGCCTATGGATAAGGTGGGTGGGCCAAGCCTATGGATAAGGTGGGTGGGCCACGCCTATGGATAAGGTGGGTGGGCCATGCCTATGAATAAGGTAAGTGGGCCATACCTATGGATAAGGTGGGTGGACCACGCCTATGCATGAGGTGGGTGGGCCACGCTTATGGATAAGGTGGGTAGGCCATGCTTATGGGTAAGGTGGGTGGGCCACGCTTATGCATAAGGTGGGTGGGCCACGCCTATGGATAAGGTGGGTGGGCCACGCCTTTGGATAAGGTGGGTGGGCCACGCCTTTGGATAAGGTGGGTGGGTCACGCCTATGGATAAGGTGGGTGGGCAACGCTTATGGATAAGGTGGGTGGGCCGCGGTAAAGTGGGTCGTGACTGTTCAACCTCACACGCACCAACATCAATTACTTAATTGAGAGAGAGTTTAGTGGTATTTAATGGTGGTTTCAGAACACTTATCAAGGCGAGACAAAGTGTTTAAATGCCATACTGTATCAAGAAGCGAACAAGTGAAGTCACGTTGGCCACCGTGACCAATGTGGCCACCGTGGCCACTGTGGCCACCGTGACCACTGTGACCACCGTGGCCACTGTCGCCACCGTGAACTTTAGCCTAACCTGTTTTGGTGCGGATAATAAAAGTAAACACAGGAAATCAAACGATGACGTTTCGGATCCGGTAATGGTCCAAGTCGGACCGAAACGTCGTCATAAGTTCCACTCTATGTACGGTACTGTACTTATTTACTCTTTAATACAACTACAACTTGTGTGTACACTTTCTGACTGACACTGTTAGACGCTGTTAGCTTCCTCAGAGTGACAATATCACATAGCTTTCACCTGACAGTCTTTTGACGTATCCCAATATTCTACATCAACAAATGTCGGAGGGGTTATACTGTCTGAATGTTGGTGAACCGTTCAGCACGCGGGTTTTCTGGTGACAGGGGTTGACAGGGGTTGACAGGGGCTGACAGGGGCTGAAAGCTCAATAGGCTGAAAAGGGCTCAAGGGGCTCTTAATCACGATGATTGCCAAGGTATTTATATTGTAGCGGGAAACTGTGTGGTGAGAGTGGTGTTACTGCATTTCCTGTGCGCAGGCAAATGTGGGGGACTAGTGTGGAGGTTACTGTTGAGGTTACTGTGGGGGTGGGGGGGTCAGTGTAAGGATTGGTGCGAAGGTTATTGTCAAGGTTATTGTCGAGGTTTGTTAAGGTTATTACGTTAGGTTAGTGTGAAGTTACCGTGCAAGTTATTGTGTAGGTTAATGTGTAGACTACTGTGAAGGTCCGTATTAGGTTAGTGTGACAATAGTGTGAAGTTGAGGTCAATGTCACGGTAGTGCGAGACACCTGAGTCACAATGGGAACCACATTCTGAACATTGTTCACATCTCTGAACACAAACAAGAACTCGTTGTCGCAGCTTTCACATTATTGCATTATAGTGTTCCTTGCCTCCTTCCTTCCCATAAGGTTCTTCATGTAAACATAAGCTTCCTCTTAAACATTATGCCCCTTCCTGAACATTATGCCTCTTCCTGAACATTATGCCTCTTCCTAAACATTATGCTCCTACCTAAACGTTAGGTCCCTCCTGAACCGTTAGCGTCTCAAACATTAGATTCATCCTTATACATTCGGCTTCTCCTTAAGGTTTAGGTTCCTTCTTTAGTATTAGGTCCTTCGCTAAGCACTGGGCTCCTTCCTAAATATTGGGGCCTACCCTAAATATCAGGCTTCTGCCTATACATTACGTAACTTCCTAAATATAATGTTCCTCTCTAAACAACTAGGCTCCAACCTAAACATTAGGTCCTTTCCTAAATATTAGCGTCCTCTTCCCTATACGATAGATCCATTTCTTAATATTTATTCAGGTTCTTCCCAAAACATTAGCTTCCTCTCGTCTGTCTATTGCTTCCCCTAGACTTACAATAACAAAATACACTATCAGATATTAATCTAACTACAAAAATAAACTGTCTTCCACAAGCAATATCTCGACACGAGACTGGGTCTGTTAGGTCCAACAGACCCAGTAACTGCACGAGGGTCACTAAGGCTGTTTGTAACCTGTACATCATCAGCTAAAAAATACTTTAACCTACTGAAACAAAAATTAAAGCCAACTCTCAGCTTATGTACAGTGAAAGTTAGATTAGATAAAAATCCGAATATCTTATCTTAGCCCCGGAGGGTTATCTA